CCCCACATCGCGTCAACTCAACAGCGACCCGCTACCGCCTCAACGACTACTTCAACACGACCGTCAACCTCCACTTCGGGACCTGCACAGACACCAAGAATCGTCGCCATGGCACGAACAACAGAGTCAAACATCGACTCGTGCATTACCGGCTCTCCACCAACTTACAGTCCTGATGAGCAACCATCACCACCACCGTCGTCCCTTAACGTGAATCCAACGTACGCCGCCATCGCGAACCGTGCACCCACCGGACCAGACACATGGTTCCTCGACAGTTGTTGCGGTCATCACATGTGCTCTTCATCACGATTTCTTCAGCGGGAACGACGTCTTCCGCGAGACGTCATCATCACCATCGCCAACAACGAAAACCTGCGCACCAACAAACAAGGAGTCGTGGAGCTTCAGTCAAACGAGACAAACGTTATTCTTCAATTAAACAAAGTACTCGTCGTCGACAACCTCGGCTTTAACTTACTGAGCGTCAGCCAACTCATGTCGAAAGGCGTTCACCTGGAGTGCGACTCCGACGCCCTGGAAATCCGTCTTTACCACGGAAAAGGGGGGGTCTTCATCGGCCGTGCAATCCAACAAGATGACGTGTTCGTCCTCGACTTCGTCCCCGACAAAGGCACCGCAGACAGCGACGGTATAGTCGCTCTCGCACCTTGGACGCATCCGCCAGACCTCGACCCGAACTTCAGTCCTGAAGGCTTCTGGTACTCTCGTACCATTCCCGAAGCTGAACGCACCAACGCGCTTGCCGTCCTGCAAACACAAGCCACAACACCTGAGTCAGCACCCGTCATCGAAACAACAACTGCACCCGTCACAACACCAACAACCTCCGAACCTGCAATTGAAGAACCAACCGTCGTCGCGGAACAACCTTCCGAAACTCTACAGCTCGGTCCCTCCGTCGCACCTCCACCTCTCATCATCGACACGCCACCGACAGCCGCCCAACAGTTAACGCCAGCACCACGCGCCGTCCATCGAAGTGCAGCAACTCACGCCGCCTTCTTCGCTAACGCAGACTTCTATCGACGCTCCGTAGGTCACAGCGCCTCCGAAGACATATGGCATCAACGTCTTGGACATCCTGGAAACACAACACTCTACAATACAATACGAGCCGGAGTGTTAGATAAGAACGCCCTACTTCTTCCCAACGGACGAGAACTCGAACGACCACGCGGCACCTGCTTCATCTGCCCGGAAGCAGATCTGCCTCACCAACCGTTCCCGTCACACCACAATCCGAGCGCCCCCGCTTATCAACCACTCGAGAAAGTCTACAGCGACATACTATACATACCTCGAACGGAAGGACGTGAAGATCTGAACTACGTCATCACCTTCATCGACGCCGCAACGCGATATGTCTGGCACGTCAACTTACCGTCACGAGACATGGCTCTAGAAGCCTTCACAGCCTGGCTACCTGTTGCTGAAAGAGAGTCAGGAGCGAAACTGAAGAGTTTTCAGTCAGATGGCGCAAAGGAGTACCAGTCAAACAGCTTCACACAGTTCTTGGCAGAAAGAGGCATCAAACGCCTCATCTCTCTTCCTTACGCTCACCAACAGCAGGGTGTGGCAGAAAGGATGAACAGGACCCTGCAGACAACCATGCGAAAGCTGCTACGTGGAACTCGACTGCCCAACTCAGAATGGCCAGCAGCGATGGACCACGCTGTCCTCCTGCACAACTTGCTGTCCTCGTCATCACTGCCCAACAACGCATCTCCGCACCTGTTGTGGACTGGGAAGCTGGGCAACACAAAAATGTTACGAGTTTTTGGGTGTATGGTACAGTACCGCCCACACACTGCACGCGCAGGGAGATTCTCGCAACGTGCACAGTGGGGTCTACACCTCGGGCTGGCAAAATATTACGAAGCATGGCGAATCTTCGACGTCCACACAAAGGAAACAGTAGCAGCACGTGACGTTATCTTCTACGAGCGACTCACCCTCAACCATTACCTGGACAACATCGCACGCCACGTCGACCCCACCGGCGGATTTTCTGGTTCCCGAGCCTTTGCTTCACCCTCTGATGCTGCTGACTGGGAAGAAGAGAACGTCGATGGCGCTTCCGAAACTGCCGGACCCCTTCCTTACTGCTCCGTCCCAATCCCCATGGACGAGGAAAACCCTCGCGACAGTAACAATGCCGACGCCTACTACCATTTCGCCGACAATGGTTACGTAACACCCCAACCCGTCAACACCGACATCTCTGAGAGATACGGCCCCGGATTCGCACCTGATCCTGAAGCGGGAGACGAAGCAGTCTATCCCGAGGACCCTTTGCTGAATCGTCACACCCCCAGCGGACTCCAAGTCCTGGGACTCGTCGCCGCAGTGCACGGGACTTCGTCGCCACCTGAAGAGCCTCGCTCTGTCAAGCAGGCTCTGGGGGGGGAACACAAAGAAAAATGGCGCGAAGCCATGGAAAAGGAGTTAAAAGCGCTCTCAGACCGCAACACCTGGAAGATCGTCCCTGCATCACTCGCACAAGACAAACCCATTCTCTCCGGAAAATGGGTATTCCGGATCAAAACCAACTCCGACGGAACCATCGAACGGTTTAAAGCTCGATGGGTCGTCCGCGGATTCGACCAAGAGTATGGTCGCGATTTCACTGAAACCTTCGCACCAGTCAGTCGACATACTTCCCTGCGCATACTTCTCGCCATCGCCGCCTCACGCCGCCGCCCACTCCGACAAATCGATGTCGCCAACGCCTTTCTATACGCCCCAGTCGACGCTGAAATCTTCGTCGAACAGCCCCACGGGTTCGTCGACGACCCTTCCCTCGTCTGCCAACTACTAAAATCACTATACGGAATTAAGCAAGCACCGCGACTCTGGCAGCAGTACCTGCACGCACGACTCAAACGCATCGGATTCAACCAACTGCCCCATGACCAGGGCATGTATCGTCTCACTCGCGACAACGACTACGTTCTGCTAATCGTCTACGTCGACGATTTGCTTTACATCGGGTCAACTACCACCATCGTCACCTGGTTCGAAAAGGAGCTTCAGACAGATCTCTCCCTCACAGTCTCACCCAACGTCACGCAGTATCTAGGGCTCAATATCCTCGATGAAGACAACACTATTCGTCTCAGCGCCTCAAAATACGCAAGCACTATCGCCGAACGCTTCTGCATCACACCGACGCACATCGCAACACCCTACAGTCACCTATCGCTCGATCCAACCGAAGAAACCAACCCACTGTCGCCTACTGAAATCCAGGAATATCAACAGAAACTGGGCTGCCTACTCTTTGCCGCCGTTACGTGCCGACCGGACTTATCCTACAGCGCCAGTCAACTAGCGACCTACCTCAAACGCCCAGAACAACGTCACCTCAAGGAACTCAACCGTGCCCTTCTCTACTTCATCTCGACGCCAACAGTTGGCTTAACATATCACAAGAACACGACGACCGACCTAAAACTACTCGGCTACGTCGACGCTGATCATGCTGCTGATCGTGTCGATCGTCGCTCTCGCACCGGCTACATCTACCGTCTTGAGCCCGTCGGAACTATCTCCTGGCAATCAAGTAAGCAGGAACTCGTCGCACTATCATCTGCTGAAGCAGAGTATATTGCTCTCTGCACTGCTACCAAGGAGGGCCTGTACCTGCGCGAACTGCTGGAAGAAGCGAAAATTGCGAAAGTACCCAGCTTCTCGCTTTTCAGCGACAACCAGTCTGCGATACGGATCGCGAACAAGAATGGCTTCGCCAACAGAACCAAGCATATCGCACTGCGATACTTCTTCGTGAAAGACGAAATCGAGAAAGGAAAACTCCAGCTGGATTACTGCCCGACCACCGAGATGGCAGCAGATTATCTCACCAAGAAGCTACCAAAGGGGAAATTCGAGTACTGCATGCTGCTCACCGGATTAGACCACGTCACCGAAGCTGACCACGTCGACACTCCAGAAACGAAGGGGAGTGTTGGGAAAATAAACGCATGACTTAGTGCGTTTCTGTAGTATCGAACCTCACCCGATACTGAAGCACAACAAAAGGAGTACGAAGTCGAAAAGGCGCGTACCACATCAAACCGCAACTAGAGGTTGCGAGCTGTAACCGCCTGGAGGTTACGTAACAGCAAGCGACGCTTCAGTGAACAGTAACCACCTCGATAGTCAAAGCGCTACGCGTCTCGATAAACATAACCGTTCCTTGTAATCTATCTCTTCTATATATTCCTGTATGCCCTTTACTTTAATCAATTACTTGTTCTCACATACCAGCACAAGTACATTCACTCAAGACTTCCGCTGTGCTACTCTAGCACTTACTAGCCTATTCTCTGCAAAGATCCTAAGGCTGAAATTCTCAGCCCAACATGTGACTTCTCCAATGATGCGAACCCTACGATCATTTGCATGAATCATATACGGTCACAATTGGATTTTGACAATAGTGGGGAATAATTTGAGAAAAAATAGTCAATGTGGTTCATATTCTGCTGTATGACACGTTCATGTATTGAAGGTAATGTGCATGTTTACACTGGCAATATGGATCATACCATTTATTTTGAGGGTTTGGTGTTGGTGTACGTTTTATAATCAACAGCAAACATCAGTATCTCATCTCAGGCGTTTCGTCAAAACTTTCGCTCGGTAACTGTTTCGTGCGCTGCAATCCTGAGCATGAGTTTTTCCAACACGCGATTGTGTCAATGCCAAGCAGGTTGCCCGAGTGGTCTCAAACGAATCCTACGTGCGGCGAGTAATTGGTTTTCGCATTCCATCGACTCCTCCCATTGGCTGGGCGAATCGACGTTATCCAGCACTGGCTCGCTGCTGGTGACCCCCCCAATCTCCTCCCGCCACTCCTTGTTTCCCCTTCCACCTCGCTGCTCCCATCAGCCCTCCAGGATATCCCTTTCTCCTCCGACCTTTGGCAGTGCTGTCTGTGTCTGACCCTAGAATCCACATTCTCGGACTCTGACGCCATGGCCGCCGTTGCTACCCGTGCCCTCGCCTCCGCGCCGGTTGCCCTCGAGGCTACCCGCCAACGCCTTGTCGCCGGCAAGGCTCTGCGCTACGCTGTCCCTGCCGTCACTGCTGTGCGCGGTCAGAGGCTCGTTGCTCGTGCAAGCCTTGAGAAGGTGAAAAGTTGTTCACATTAGCTCAGAGTTTACGAACCACAACGCCTGCTGTTCTTGTTCCTCCATAGATAACGAACGTATAGCTGACATTGTTACCCTCGCATTCCCCGCATGTTTTTTGCAGCCCACTCGCCAGACCTACTTCGCCTCCCCCCAGTCCCTGAGCTACCTCGATGGGACCCTCCCCGGCGACTTCGGCTTCGACCCCCTTGGCCTGTCCGACCCTGAGGGTGCTGGCAACTTTATCGACCCCAAGTGGCTCACCTATGGCGAGCTGATCAACGGCCGCTGGGCTATGCTCGGTGTTGCCGGCATGATCGCTCCCGAGATCCTCGGCAGCTACGGCATTGGCCCCAAGATTGTGTGGTTCCAGTCCGGCGTGATCCCTCCTCTTGGCGGCTACGAGTACTGGGCCGATCCCTATGCTCTGTTCGTCCTCGAGATCGTCCTCATCGGCTTCGCCGAGCACAGAAGAGCTCAGGACTACTACAGTAAGCTCCCGCTTCCCACGGTCCAACCGTCTTCTCTTGTACAATTTACCATGCACCCCCCCTGTCCCATTATACGGTATACCAGTACTCACACTTTTTTGCTTTTTTTGAATTGCAGAGCCCGGCTATGGCTCCAAGCAGTACCTGCTGGGTCTTGAGAAGGTGCTCGGCGGCTCCGGCGACCCCATCTACCCCGGTGGCCCGTTCTTCAACTTCGCTGGCCTGGGCAAGACCGAGGCTGAGATGCACACCTACAAGACCAAGGAGGTCAGGAACTCCCGCCTTGCCATGCTCGCTGCCCTCGGCTTCTTCTTCCAGGCGTGGATCACCGGCGTGGGCCCGTACCAGAACCTGCTCGACCACTTGGCCGACCCCGTGAACAACAACATCCTCACCAACCTCAAGCTGCACTAAGCTGTTTATTCTCAATATAAATGTAAAGATGTGAGATTTGTCAAATTACAAACTCAAAATTGTGCATTAATTACGTAGTACGGTCTGCGGGGCAACTGAATGATAACGAGCCCAAATTCCAGGACTTCAATTATAGTACTGGGAAGGAATGTCAAACATCTGATGTCATGGAATGCCACGAAACAAATAAATTTAACGTTCATTTACACAATTCAGCAAGCTCGTCAATTCAAATGAATTACATTTTTCCGGTAGTACTAGCGTGTCTGTCGGCCCCCCTTTTACGTTCTCAAAATCCCGACCCACAAACTTGCTGATAATAATGGCGTCAATTGGCGCACTGTCAACCACGCCTGCGACACTCCGTCCAGTGCAGCTCGGTTCTAGAACGAGCAGGATTCCACTCCAAGCATGCAGAGGGCCAAGAATAGTCGCCAAAGCAAGCTCGAATAAGGTAAGGCTGCATGTAAGAACGACTAGGAGTTACGCTGCATCACAAACAGGGTGCCTAATGCCCGTCCTCACTAAGCGGCCGTGCAGGATGATCGGCCAACCTGGTTCGCTTCGTCTCAGTCGTTGACTTACCTTGACGGAAGGTCAGTCCCCTTTTGCCCGCATGGAATCGGCGTTGCTCCTTCTGTCTGTGCGTACTGTTAGACCGAGTGCATATCTTCCCTCACGTGCGTCTGACCCTACGAGCCGCCTCCATTGCGCCATCGCAGCCTGCCAGGCGACTACGGATTCGATCCGCTCGGCCTGTCGGACCCGGAGGGGGCGGGCGCGTTCGTGTCGCCGCGATGGCTGGCGTACGCGGAGGTGGTGCACGCGCGCTGGGCCATGCTGGGCGCACTGGGGATGATCGCGCCGGAGATGCTGGGCGATGTGGGCGTCATCCCCGCGCGCACGGGCGTCGAGTGGTTCCGCTCGGGCGTCATTCCGCCGATCGGCGCGTTCGACTACTGGGCTGACCCTTACACGCTCTTCGTGGCGCAGGCGGCGCTGCTGGCATTTGCGGAGCACCGACGCGCGCAGGATTACTACGGTGAGTCGCAGCCGCGCGGAGTAAACATGCTTGCAGCTCCGCAGTCAAGCATTGTGCTTTCGTGCCGTGCCAGTATAGACTCGTTTGATGCACCCTTGGCGTCCGCTGGGTATGATCATCCTCATGCGTAGCTCATGCCACGCCGTCCTCCTTCCATCTCGTGCCGCGCGCCCTGGCAGCGCCAGGCTACGGCGCGACGACCCCGTTCTTCGGCCTCGAGCGGCTGCTGGGCGGCTCCAAGCGCCCCGCGTATCCCGGCGGGCCGTTCTTCAACTTCGCGCGGCTCGGGCGCTCCAAGGCGGAGATGCGCGCGCTGCGCACGGCGGAGTTGAAGCACGGGCGCGTGGCGATGGCGGCGTGCGCGGGGTGCTTCGCGCAGGCGGTGGTGACGGGGAGCGGGCCGTGGCGCAACGTGGTGGAGCACGTGGCGGACCCCGCGGGGAACAACCTGCTGGCGCTCGTGGGGCTGCTGTGACGCGCGCACGCGCGCATGGCGAGCGCCCGCGCTGCATTGCGGTGCCTGCTGCGGCGAGAACGGCAGACGCGTGTTGGAGGTGCCTCCATCTGTACTCAATGCTCATCCATACGTTTCGAGCCGGATGGAGTTGGACAGTAGTAAAGGGGACAACCCCGAGCAGCCATGGCGTATTCACATAGGGACTGAAGGAACATGAGCTCTACAATGTGTTGTCTTTGATCTTTGGCTACGGTATACACCTTTGATGAATCTAGTGTATCTACAGCAAGCAGTGGCACTAGTCCTTGCGCAGGTCCATGATCTCCCGCCGCACACCGTTCTTGTCAATGACCACAATCTCCAATGCATCGCCCTGCACAACCCCCCCCCCCCCCCCCCCCCCCCCCCCCCCACACACACACATAGACATACACATACATGGAACGCATGCAGCGATCAGCAAAGCGGGTGCAGAGAAGAAGAAACATCAACTGATCGCACATAGAGGTTCCATTGACACACAGAGGGGTGGGAAAGGGAGGAGAGAGGAAGAAACAGCAGACGAGCGAACTAAAGGGTGAATGATTGCAAGGGCAGAGGGAGGGGGCCACGCACGGTGTAGATGTCGCGCTCTGCAGCGGAGGCAAAAGAGGGGCTCTTTAAATGACTAGGGGGGCAGGGGGGGGGCAGGGGGCAGGGCACGCACGGTGTAGATGTCGCGCTCTGCAGCGGAGGCGAAGGTGTCCTTGATGAGGTCTACCGCCTCCTCCTGTGATAGCTTTGTTGCCAGTGGCTGCACGGCACAGCACACAGAGGGTATAAGGCAGAGCGCACATGCAGACACACAGAAGAGTTGAGAGGATACTTCTGCTGTGTTACAAGCACAGATGAACAAGCATATTGGAGGGCACGACACAGCATAGTAAGTACACACCCAAGCCAGCATCTATCCCTGCGGCCGTGCGGTGCAGTGCGCACCTGGGGCGGCAGCACGAGGGGGTTGGCGGCTTTGAGCTGGGAGTCGAGCACGGGCACGACGAGCTGCTGCCCCGTGCCGTGCACCACGTACCCCAGGCGCTCGTGCGACCCCACTGCGTCGTACCCGTACACACACCCCACTCCTGGTGGTGCGCGCACCAAGGGGATGGTGGTGATGGGGCAATGGAGTGGGGGGATGAGGAGGCTTTGAGCATTTTCAAAAAACAGCATGCAGCACGTGGTGTGCATGGCATGGTCGCACGGCATGGCATGGAGCATGGTGCATGCGGCATGGGCAGCAAGGCCCGTGCCATGCACCACACACCCCAGCCTCTCATGCAACCCCACCGCATCGTACCCATACACAGACACAACACCGGGTGATGCACTCAAGGGGGCGGAGGGGGATTGTGACGAGGGAGTGGAGTGGGGGAGATGGCTATGATGCGGCAAAGCAAGCCCCGTGCCATGCACCACGTACCCCAGCCTCTCGTGTGACCCCACCGCACCATACCCCTTCACACACCCCACTCCTGGTGGTGCGCGCGCCAAAGGGGAGGTGGTGACGAGGGCATGCAGTGAGGGAGTTGAGGAGAAACGAAGCGTTAAGTGCCTTTGAGAGCCACGAAAAGAGACAACCATGATAAGAGCAGCGTGCAGCAAACATGGAGTGCATGGCATGGGATGTGGCATGGTGCATGCAGCATGGCAGCAACCAAGGTTTGGGCAGCTCACCATTAACATCCAATCCAGCGAGGGCGTTGAAGGTGTAGTAAGGGAAGAAGCGCTTGTAGTAGAGCGTGTTGGCCAGCAGCTGCGCCATCGCCTCGCACCCCATCTCCTCGTTGTGCTGCTGCTGGTACACCTGCCACACGCAGGGTTGGGGGAGGGGAGAGGGGTAACAGGGCAGGGCGGGGAGTGTTGGGGTTGGGGGTTGAGGGAAAATGAGGGAGGTATAAGCACAGTCAGGTGTGAGGTGACAAGCACAGTCAGGTGTGAGGTGACAAGCACAGTCAGGTGTGAGGTGACAAGCACAGTCAGGTCTGAGGTGACTTTTGAGTCGACTCAAAAGTCACCTCAAATGAGGGAGGTATAAGCACAGTCAGGTGTGGAACATGTTTCCTTGCACACCGCACAGCCCAGATTCAGGGGACTCGTGTGCCCCACTGCCACGCAGCAAGCAGCCTCTGTAGTATCATCAGCCTCCGCCCCCCATGCCTGCCCCCATGCGCGCCCATGTCGGGAGTGGAGCACCCATCGTTGCCATGCCTGCCCTCCCCTCCCTAACATGCCTCCCCACCCACCGCACACCACGCGCACCTCATGGTACAGTACAAGTGCAGCACTTTCTGCACCATCAACCTTTCCACCCCATGCCCAGCCCCTCCTGCCCGCCCCCCATGCCCTTCCCGACCCCCATGTCCAACCACCCATGTCCGCCCCACCATGCCCGCTCCCCACATGTCCGGCCCCCCATGCGCACCTCGTGCCGCTGGTGCAGCACCTTCTGCAGCATGCGCCGGTCCGCCTGGAAGCCCGAGCTCACCAGCACACAGCGGTCCGAGCTGGCGGGCAGGGGGCGCGCGGAGAGGGGTGGTGGGAGAGGGGAGGGGAAGGCGCAGGGCAATTGGGGTGAGGGGGGAAGCCCGAGCTCACCAGCACACAGCGGTCCGAGCTGCGGGGCACGGGCGCGCGGAAAGGTGTGGGGGTGGGTGGGAGAAGAAAAGGGGAGGCGCAGGGCAAGTGGGGTGGGAGCGGGGACGGGGAATGCGCAGTGCAACGGAGGTTAAGGGGGAAGGGTGCAGCGCATGAGGGGTTGGGAGGAAGACGCAAGGCAAAGGGGGCGGGAAGGGACGCTGAGAGGCAACAGAGGCAGAGAAAGGAAAGAGAGAGGCTGAATTCCACAGCACAGCGACACACAGCTGGAAAAAGGAGTAGCTGTGGGAACAGACCAACAGGCGAACAGGGAGTGAGGGGGAGAGGGAGTTGAGGAAGGTAGGGGAGGAGAGAGAGGGTGGTGGGGATAAGGGCGACGTGGGCGGAGGAGCAATAGGAGCGGGGAGAAGGAGATGAGCGATAGAGGTCGGGGGGCGGGAGAGCAGGGAGCGGGGCGGACATGCGGAAGATCTTGGAGGCGGAGCGCGTGTAGATGCTGTAGCCCGTGGACAGGCGCGTGTCGCCCGCCACTATCGCGAAGTCGCTCCCCGCCACCGCCATGCTCGTGCTGCGGGCGGGGGAGGTGGGGGTGGGGGGACGGACGGACGGGGGGAAGGGCGAATTGGGCGGTTGGGCGACGGGGGAAAGGGCGGAGAGGAGGATGGGCGGATCGGCAGGTACGGTGGATGGGCGGATGAACGGATGGTTCGGGTGCGGGAAGCGCGGAAGGAAGTATGGGCGGATGGGACGGACGGGCGTAGTGGGGGGGGGGGGGGGGGGGGGGGGGATGGACGGATGGGCGGATGGGCGGATGGGCGGATGGGGCAGACAGGGAGGATGGCGAATTGGAACAGGGTCGGAATGTATGAACTTGGATCGGCACTTCCAAGAAGGTGCGCGCGAGAGGAGCTGGCAAATGGACGATTAGAGCGCAAGCGGAGCGCCCCCATCACCCTGCAGCAAGTGGCTCGCATACGAGCGGAGCGCATAGTCGGCTGCCGTTCGGCCGCAACGGCGACAACTCCAAGGACCGCCCGCTTCTACCGCGGAAATCTCGCAGTCCTACACCGTACAAACGCAGCAGGGATCGATATTTCGCGAATTCTCATCGCGAATGGTAAAGGTGTAAGCCTCGGGATCTTACCCGCCGTTGTTGTCGTACGGGCTCCAGTGCGCCATGATGCGCTCCGCGGCGCCGCTACAATCTGCAGAGTGTTTGCCTGTTTGCGGTTCAGCTGAAACGCGAGCTTCGCTGAACAAAGCTTTTCGTGTTGCGATGGAGATTAGGCGACGGTAGTTACGTACGGCGGGAAGAGGAGGTAATCGGTCTAGCTAGTCGAGGGAATTAGCAGACTGATGTGGATGCGGGCGATAGAGGGATCTGGGATGCTGGGTTGAGCCTCTTTCACATTCATTCTCGCTACAAACACTTTCAACTTGGGTGCTTCTTTGTCCCTGCAGCCCTTTGCATAAGCAACACGTTCTTGAAGATGAAGATGTCTAGCATTAGCCACTGAAATTGATGGAATTATTGAATATGCGTTACTCTGGAGGAGCTTCATGGCCAAGCTAATATATAGTATTGCCATGCATTTTCGCTTGCCAAGACGGATGTAAGCAGTTCCATTCCGAGCTATAGTCGCAGAGGTCTATTTCGCGAATAGCACCGACCAGAAGGTTCTGCCTGCTCCGGGCTTGGCCGTGCGAGGCAGCATTGACCACACAGCGGGGCTTTTCGCGCTTCCTCTCAGTCGCGCACAGCCGAAAGCAAAGGCTGGCCTGGCTGGCAGTTAAGCGGCGGTTTGGTTCGGTTGAGTGCGAGGAGGAAGAGTGAGAGTGCGAGCAAGACCATCACCACGCCCATGATCATGAGAGCGTGTCAGCCCAGCAGACACAGCAACACCCAACCTGACCAAACCTCTCAGCTTTCACCGCGTCTTGGCGGCCCAACAGTACAGTCCGATGAAGCGTCTATGGCGCCGTGGGTAGCGACGATAGTTATTTAAATGTGCGTGCGCCATGACGTCATGCTCGTCGTGTGCTCCACCTCACTCAGCTTCCATCCAATCCCGCGGATCGCCGCATTGCAGCACGATGTTAGGTTATGCCGCCTCTGCTGCCATCTGTTACCGCTTAGTCAATCGACTTAGGTAGCTAGTGTTCTATTTATACCATTAAGTACGACGTAGCTATTGAAAATAGTAACTTGACTTTAAAAGCATTAGCTTTTAGCGGATCAGCCAGCTCTGAAACGGAAGCACCCAACGCGCGGCATGCTCTAGCCATCCGTGCCTGCGCCGTTCTCACTCGTACTCAGCGGGTGTGCCGTCGTACCCGTTATAGATTCGCTCGTTATCGCGATGGGGTGCGCCGTGTCGGTGGAGGTGGCCGGCAAGGACGACGCGGGGGGGCATAGCAACCACGCAGTTTCGCAGAAGCCGACAGGGAAATCCGTTACAGTGCAAGGTACTGTAAGACGTCGCGGCGCGAGTGATATAAACAGCGTATGGACGCGAGAGGGGGGGGGAAGGGTGCAGCGAGAGGCATATGCGGCTGCCATTTCCGTCATTCGGTCGTCGTCTCGCTGCTGACTGCGCTCTCGTGTTTCCCTCTCTCTCGTGTGCTTGACCGTGCCATCTCCCGTCCCAACCTCTGCCCCCTCACCTTCTCCCTGCGTGCCGCCCATCATGCCCCCCCGCCCATCATCCCCCCCCCGCCCATCATGCCCCCCCGCCCATCATCCCCCCCCGCCCATCATGCACCCCCGCCCATCACCCCCCCCCGCCCATCATGCCCCCCCGCCCATCATGCCCCCCCGCCCATCATGCCCCCCCGCCAGAATCGCAAATGACAGTCACGACGGAGGTCGACGCGCGCCCGACGGACGCGGTCGAGTCGACGGCGACGGAGGGCGCGCGGCCGCTGCGCAAGTTCAAGCTGCGCGAGGTGCGCGACATGTGCGACGGCTTCTCGTCCAAGTGCCCCGTGCTGGGCGAGGGCTCCTTCGGCATGGTGTATCGCGGCAGCGCGGAGCTGGACGGGCGCGCGGTCGACGTGGCGGTGAAGCGGCTCAGCGCGGAGAGCCAGCAGGGCGTCGACGAGTGGCTGGTGCGTGCCGTGCGGGGGTGTCTGCAGGTTTGGGGATGCGTGCCGGTTGGGGGGTGACTTTTGAGTCGAGTCAGAAATTAAGCCGCTTGGATGGTGCGCACAGGTTCGGGGGGTGCGCACAGGCTTGGGGGATGCGCGCAAGCTTTGGGGGTGCGCGCAGGCTCTGGGACGTGCCCGCTTGTGGGGCACGCATACTTGGGAGGTGCGCGTACGTTTGGAGGTTCCGTACAGGCTTGGGGGGTGTGTGCAGGCTTGGGGGGTGTGTGCAGGCTTGGGGGGTGTGTGCAGGCTTGGGGGGTGTGTGCAGGCTTGGGGGGTGTGTGCAGGCTTGGGGGGTGTGTACAGGCTTGGGGGTTGTGTGGCAGTGGGTGGGGGTGCTTGCTGCTGCCTGCGGCCGTGCCTTTGCGTTGCCAGCGGGGTGAGCAAGGATGGAGGCTCGTGTATCGCCCGTCTTCTCTCCTCTCTTCCTCCCCTCGCCTCCCCCTCTCTCTCAAGCAAGGTGCACCCCGCATCCATCCATATCCTCTCCTCGCACCTCTGGCTCACTCCCTCCCACCCCCTCCCACCCCCTCGCACCCCCTTCCCCTCACCTCCCTTCCCCTCCCCATTTTCACCCCCCTCTCTCTTCCCTTCCCCACCTCATGCACCGCTGGGTGCCCGGCGCTGAGCAGGCGGAGGTGCTGGTTTTGGATCGGCTGCGGCATGCGAATCTGGTGGAGCTGGTGGGGTATTGCAAGGAGAAGGGCGAGTGCCTGCTCGTCTACCACTACTACGCCAACGACAGCGTTGAATCCGCCCTCTTCAACCGTAAGCCGTGTCTCTGATTCCGTCCCTCCAATTCCTCTCTCTCCCACCTTCTCTCTCAACATCCAACAAACCCCCTCCCCTCAAGCGCCCTGCTCTCCCATAACCACCAGCCTCAGCCTCAGCCTCAGCCTCAGCCTCAGCCTCAGCCTCAGCCTCAGCCTCAGCCTCAGCCTCAACCTCAGTCCACCCCATCCCTCTCTTTCCCCCCTCTCCGTTCCCCTCTCCCCACACCCCCCTCCCCCCCCCCCCCTCCCCCACCCGTCCTTCGCCACTTACCGTTTCCCCCACTCTTCTCCCTCCCCCGCCGTACACCCATCCCGCCGTCCTCTCCCCATCTCCCCCACTCTGTGCATGCGGGCAGGCAAGCGCGCGGGGCAGGAGCCATTCTCGTGGGAGCGGCGGGTGAGCGTGGCGTGGCAGGCGGCGGAGGCGCTGGCGTATCTGCACGCCAATGATGTCATCCACCGCGACTTCAAGCCTTCGAATGTTCTGCTTGATGCGGTGAGCGCACTGGGGGTTGGGTGGGGAAGGAGGGGGGGTTGAGGCGCTGGCGTATCTGCACGCCAACGACGTCATTCACCGCGACTTCAAGCCTTCCAACGTGCTGCTTGATGCGGTGAGCGCAAGGGGAGGGGTGGGAGGGAGATTCAGGCAAGCTGGCATGGTGCTGGGTGCTGCTGGGGTGAAGTTTGAGGCGCTGGCGTGCTGCTTGATGCCGTCAGTGCAAGAGGGGTGGAGAGGGGGGGGAGGGGTATGGGCAGGGGAAGGTGGGGAGGAAGGCACTAGTGGGAAGGGTGCGCCTGGGTGACTGGTCGTGCATGGGAGGTATGTGATTGGGGAGGTTGCTGCTGTACAAGTAATTTGTCAGGCTGGGAGATTTGGCCAAAGTGGCAAGGTGGTGGGTGGGCGTGGAGCAAGCAAGGCTGCTCACCTTCCATGGCAGCGTGTGGTTGGGTTGACGGGGGGCATAGGGCGGGTGCCATGACCGTGACCGTGGGGGATGGGGAGACGAGCAGTAGGCCCCATTACACCTCGTGGAGTGGAGTTTGGGGGAGACTTCACGCCTGCCCCGCATGATATCTCCTCCTTTTGCTCAAATCCGTCCCCTCCTGCCACTCCAGTGCTCTTGTCCACGCCACACCTCACTCACCACATCCCTTTCCCCTCCTCCCCAAATGCTTCTGGGTGGTGGCATTGGCGGCGGGGCTGGCAGGACTGGACGGCGAAGCTGAGCGACTTTGGGATGTGCAAGGAGCAGGAGGCGGGCAAGTCGCACGTGTCCACGCGGGTCATGGGAACTCTGGGGTACCTCGACCCTGACTACATGGAAACAGGTGCCTCCCTCACTCTCTCATGTGCCTCGCACACTCTCACATGCCTCGCACACAACCAGATGCCACGCACAACCTCAGGTGCCACTCACAAGCTCAGGTGCCATTCACACGCTCAGGTGCCATTCACACGCTCAGGTGCCATTCACACGCTCAGGTGCCATTCACACGCTCAGGTGCCATTCACACGCTCAGGTGCCATTCACACACTCAGGTGCCATGTGCAAATCCAGGTGCCACGCACAAAACCAGGTGCTAGGGGCACAGATTGCGCGGTGAGTAGCTGACGGACACACAATGATGCAGAAATGGCAGTGATGCTGACGGACACACAATTCTATCCACAGGTGCCCCTGTTTCCAGCACACCTGCATGAGCTCTTAGTCACCACCTTTTCCCCACTTACTCCCTTTCCCCCCTCACAACCCTTTTCTCTTCCCTCTGTTCCCCCCCCCCCCCCCCCCCCTCCCTCCCCGACAGGACTGCTGCGGCAGAGTTCAGACGTGTACGCCTTTGGGGTGTTTCTGCTGGAGCTGATCACGGGCAAGCGCGCGGTCTCAGACACGGGGCAGCCGCTCACCAGCTGGGTGTTCCCGCTGCTGGACCAGAAGAAGCCCGAGATCGACCTGCTGATTGACTCGGCGCTGGAGAGCAGCTTTGACCGCGACAGCGCGCTCAAGATCGCCGTGATTGCCAAGTTCTGCATCGGGGAGGAGGAGCTGCGCCCCGAGATGACCGCCGTCGCTGAGAGGCTCAAGAAGCTCGTCGCCTCGTGACCAGGGCTGGGGGCTTGTGACCATGGCAAGGGGCTCGGGACCATGGCAGGGCTGGTGGCTCGGGACCATGGCAGGGCTGGTGGCTCGGGACCATGGCAGGGCTGGTGGCTCGGGACCATGGCAGGGCTGGTGGCTCAGGACCAGGGCTGGGGGTTCGTGACCATGGCAGGGCTGATGGCTCATGACTAGGGCTGGTGGGTTTGTGACCATAGCTGAGGGCTTACCGTATGAGCAAAGCTGGTGGGCTCATTGCCATAGTGGTGGGCTTGTGACCATTAGCAAAGGATGAGATGGTGTGAGCTATTGGCACGGGTGGCACAGGTGGTAGAGTGGTGATTGGTGGCGCTTCAGTAGTAATGCTATGTTGTAGGGCTGCCACCGAGTCAAGAAGCAGTTGAGTTTCACCACCCATGCGAGAAAATCCGCACATGTGAAGACAAAAATAGCTTAAGTATGATAGGTTAGGGTACATTCAAAATCAGTTATTTTCCGGTTGCGAATAAAAAGACCACCGCTGCGGACCTGATCCAACCGCTTGGACCGGAATGACGAGGAAGGAAACAATGTCGCGCCCATTTATGCAAGCCACCTGCAGATGAGAGGGTGGGTGTTTGTGTGTTACTGATACGGTATGTTATTCCGAGTCGCCTCGCCTCGCGCATATCTCTGGCGTCCGGACCCAATTTAAATTTCGTGGTTCTCTTCGGAGCTCCGTATGCCGCACTTCGTTTTTTTTTTTCTCCTCCGTGAATTCACAGTTTCCTCCTCCTTCAGGCCGTGCCGTAGCGTGCTCGTGCCCTTGGCGTGTTTGTGCCCGTGGCTCGTCCCTGCGATCACCCCGCGCCGCTCGCCCCTTGCGACGATGCGACGAGAGGATTAGAGAAGAGGGGAATGGGAGGAGCCGCTGTGATAGGCGCGTTAGAGGCCGAACCTCTCTGCTGCAGTGCGCTTTGCAGTTTATTAGTGCACCGTAACTATAGCCGCCACCTTTTATTAGACACCTCGCGGAACGTGCGCTCGTCGCGGTCGTCTGAAATTGGCGCGCAATTTGTACATATTTCCCTCTCAGGTGCCAGTCCGCTTTCGCGCCTCCGCCTCTCCGCCTTTCCGCCTCCCCGCTTCTCCGCCTCTGCACTTCTCCGCCACCCTCTCCGCCCTCCGCCCGCGCGCCATGGCGTTCCCGGAGCTGCTGGCGCGGCAGGCTTCCATCTATTCGCTCACGCTCGCTCGACGAATTACAGGCGACGTTCGCAGGCCCGTCGCACGCCGTCGCATCCATGGCCATGGACGACTTCCTGCGATCCGTCTGGCTCGCCGAGGAGTCGCAAATGCTCGCCGCCGCGCACGCCGCCGATGGCGCGGATCCGCGCGCGCGAGACAAGGCAGCGGGGCTGCTGCGCGCGCGCTCGCTGCGGCGGCAGAAGTCAGCCGCGGCGCTTCCGCGCGCGCTGACTGCGCGGACCGTGGAGGACGTGTGGAAGGATATTCAGGCGGAACTAGCGGGGGAGGGGGAAGCTGCGGAGGGGGGCGGAGCGTCGGCAGAAGGAGCGCGCGGAGGGGGGGAGGCGCAGCAGCAGCAAGCGCAGGGGCAGGGGCAGCAGCAGTAAACACGGCAATTGTCGTTTGCGGAAATTACACCGGAAGATTTTCTGGCGCGTGCAGGGATTTCCAAAAAAGAGCTTATAGGGGGGATAGAGGCTATAGGGGGAGAGCCGGGGGATGGGGAGGAGGCGAGTGGCGGAATTGGCAGCAGTGCGCGGAGAGAGGGGGAGGGCGGAGCCGGCGGGGGCGAGGGGGAAGGTGGAGGGGGGAAAGAAGGGGGGCAACTCACTGGAACGGACGGGCGGATGGGGAGCGTGGGGGAAAATGGCCGCAGTGCTGACGTGGCACATGATTCGAAAGCTACAATGGCGGCAACAGGGTGGGAACTCCACCCACATGCGGGGCCAGCAGGGCAGGCAGGCAGGACAAGCAGATGTGTCATTCCTGCAGCAGCACAAGAATCAACTTCACTCGCAGCAGCAGCACGGGGGGCAGGGCGGAGGCGAGGGAGGGAGAGCGAGAGGAGGTGGGGGTGGGGGCGGAGAGGGAGGAAGGAGAGGGGAGCAGGCGATGCAGCAGCAGCAGCAGCAAGCGGTGGTTTAGATGGCAGCAGCAGCAGTGGCGGACGCAGGGCACAGCCACGTGGCATCTGTCTTCGCTGCCACACGCCACGCTGCCGCTGCTGCCGCTCACTGGGAGCGCTGGGGCCGCAAGGAGGGGGGTTGCTGGGGTCACTGGGAGTGCAGGGAGCGATGTGGGCAATGGGGTCGTTGGGCGCCCCCCCTGCTGGGCTTGCCATGGGGATGGGCGTTGGCGGAGGCATGGGGATGGGTGGGGGGATGGCGCCAACTACGTATGGAGTGGGCGCAGGCATGGGCGCAGCGCAGGCATGGGCGCAGGCATGGGCGCAGGCATGGGCGCAGGCATGGGCGCAGGCATGGGTGCAGGGGGGCTGGGGGGACTTGCTGGGGCGGGCATGGTGGCGGCGGATGGGGTGGGGGGCGGGGGGGAGAGGTGGGGGGGCAGTGATGGCGGAGGGGGAGGGGGGCAATCGGATACAGGCGGGGGGAGTGGGGATGGAGACACCCTGAGCGGGGGCGTGGGGGGGAGTGCGGGGCGGAGGGGGAGGAAGCGGAGTGGGGAGGGGGGAGGGGCGCCGGTGGAGAGGAGGCAGAAGCGGATGATCAAGAATAGAGAGTCGGCCGCTCGGTCCCGTGCAAGGAAGCAGGTACGGTGAGGTGCAGTGAGGTGGGGTGTAGCGAGGAAGCTTTTAGGTTGATCAAGTACAGAGAGTTGGCTGCTCGGTGAACAGGTGAGGTAAGTTGCGGTGAGGGAGCGTTTTCTTATTGTGGTGTTTCGCTGCTCTGCCCCCCTGAGTGAAGTCTCTTGAGACTGTGAGAGTAGGCAGAAGAGGATGAACAAGAACAGAGAGTCGGTTGCTCAGTTACGGGCGAAGAAACAGGTGAGGTGTGGTGTGGTGAGGTAAGGTGCGATGAGGTGCGGTGAGGTGAGGTGAGGAAGCGTTTTCTTATTGTCGTGTTTTGATTTTCTGCCACACTGCGTGAAGAATGAGAGTAAGGCAGAAGCAGATGATAACAGAGAGTTTGGTGCTCGGTTTTGGGGCAGGAGGGGTGCGGTGAGGGGAGGTGGGTGAGGTGAGGTGCGGTGAGGGGAGGTCGTCCGGTGAGAGCAGGAAGGTTGAGGGGTAAGGGCGAGTGGTGTCTGAGGTTGAGGGGTAAGGGCGAGTGGTGTCTGAGGTTGAGGTGTAAGGGCGAGTGGTGTCTGAGGTTGAGGTGTAAGGGCGAGTGGTGTCTGAGGTTGAGGTGTAAGGGCGAGTGGTGTCTGAGGTTGAGGTGTAAGGGCGAGTGGTGTCTGAGGTTGAGGTGTAAGGGCGAGTGGTGTCTGAGGTTGCTCTCTCTCCCAACCACATGCCATGCTGCCCTTCCTTTCCCACCACCCCCTTAGCTCACCTCACCTCACCTCACCGCACCACACCACACCACACCGCACCACACCACACCACACCGCACCACAAAACATGGTGGAGGTGCTGTCCTCCTCCCCATACCCCTCACCCCCATGTTGCCTGCCCCCACTTCCCCCCTTCCCTTCAGGCGTGCACAGTGGAGTTGGAGGCGGAGGTGGCGCAGTTGAAGGAGGAGAACCCTCCCCCTCCCCCTCAGCCCCTTCCCCCTGTCACCACATGCCATGCTGCCCTCCCCACCCTTCAGGCGTACACAGTAGAGTTGGAGGCGGAGGTGGCGCAGTTGAAGGAGGAGAGCGAGCAGCTGCGCGCTCAGCCCTTCCCCTCTCCTTAACCCCGCCTCAGGCATATGCAGTGGAGCCTGAATGTGAAGGTGCCCTGAAGCCTAACCACATGTTCTTCTTCCCATGCCCCCCCCCCTCTCCCCCCCCCAGGCGTATACAGTGGAGCTGGAGGCGGAGGTGGCGCAGTTGAAAGAAGAAAATGAACAGCTGCGCTCCCAGCTTCAGCTGCTGCAGTCGCACACGCATTCACACCCCAGCGTGGTGAGTGCACATTGCGCATTGAGTGAACAAAGCACGGCGTGCGCATCCTTTCCCAGCTCGAGCGAGCGAGTACTCGCTGACATCACTGTCGCTGTCACTCAGCAGCGCAGCTTGTGTGCATTGAGTGGACGAAGCACGGCATGTGCGATGCGAGCACTCGTTGTCTTTGCTGTTGCCGTCACCCAGCAGTGCAGCTTCTGAGAAATTCTCATTCCCATCATTACGTTCAATCTGATCCGATTCTCATTCCCCTCCACCTTCGATATTACTTCTCTTCTTATCTCTGAACCTCTCTTCTCTCACCTCTGTCCCCTCTTGGCCTTGTATTTCTCCTCTCAATTTCCCCAAACCCTGCAGCCAACAGCAGTACCTACTTCTCTATCTGCAGCAGCACAAACAGCAGCACCAGCAACAGCAGCAGCCGCACCGGCAGCAGAGGCAGCAGCAGGCACGCCACTCAGTCTCCTACCACCACCACCAGCAGCCAATCCGTCCAGTCTGCATGCAAACCGCCTCTTAACCGCTTCCCACCTGCACGCACCTTCTCAGCCTCACACGCCTTTGCCAGGTGCAGCAGCAGCAGCGGGTGGGAAGGATGCTACTAGCAGCAAGTCATTGCAGCGGTCCAGGTCAGGGCCATGGTGACATGGGGAGCTGGTCTCACTGCCTGATCTCGCTCGATGCGCCACACCTCCTCTCAGTCTCTTCACACATGCACACATCGTCGCGGCCTCACACTGTGAAGGGTGCTGCTGGCAGCGGGGCACTTTAACGGTCCAAGTCAAGGCCGTAGTGACAAGGGGAGCGCCTGATCTGGCTGGTCGCGCTCGATGCGCCATGTCCCCTCAACCGCGTCACACCTCCACTCAACCGTGCCACACCTCCTTTCAACCGCTTCACACCTATGCACACCATCTCAGCCTCACACTGTGAAGGTTGCTACTGGCAGCAGGCCATATTAACGGCCCAATAGGAGTGACAAGGGGGCCATAGGGACATAGGGGACACTCGCCACTTGGTTTCGCTTGGACATAGGAGAACAGGCACAGTGTTTAGTCTAGCTGAATATATTGTCCAATTCAGAATTAGTTTGTAGCACGCGTGAGAACCTTGGACTGGAAGGAAGGCTGGAAGCATTCTTGGACGGACAAAAATGTATTCAAAGAGAGGTGTGTCACTGCAACAAGTTGAGACTACAGTACGAGTTGGCTCAGCCGCTCAGCTGTCTAACTAACTCCCAAGTGTGACATTGCAGGTGTTGCTAAGAATACACATGTACGCCCAACTAATCCTCCAATCCAAAGCCAAATGGCAATAGCTATTGCATTGCTTGCGAACAACCTGTGTGCACATGGCCTGATCTGCACAGGTACCATATCACAGAGCAATTGGTTGACAGAATCAGATTGCAAAGACTACTGTTGAAACATCATTGCAATTGACATTGCCAAGATTGCAGAGTCAGAAGCGGCAGGGCAGCTGCCACGACTGCTGGAGTTGTTGTGAGCGTGGCACTGGCATGCGTGTTGCATCCATCACATTTAGGCAGAGCTTGCATTGACCCGAGAATGAGAGCAAGCGAGAGAGCAAGCACGGGATGTCTACAGTACGTTTTGAAGGCCAAATGTCTCATTGCATGACTGCTGTAGGCTGAATTGGTGGGAGGAGGGAGAGGGGAATGTCATACCCAGCCATGCCAAATTGAATAACAATGAAGTGAAAGCATGCACTACCACCAGTAGTTGCTCATGTATAAATTTCGAAACGTATCCCTCAGCCGCAGTATCATGCTTTCTGGCAGGATGCATGGACAAAACTATGCTAGATGCCTGATTGCATGATGAATAGCATGCGCAATGCATTCGGTAGTACGTAACAGGATGCAGATTTTCATAAGGATACCTCAAATTTACATCTCAGAATGCATACCTTGAGATGCAAACATCTCAACACACACTTCAAGATGCTCACAGACTACAGGTTTGGTTGGTCGCCTGTAGCACAACTAGGTATAGGTTCTGCAGTCGCACTCCTCTATTTTTGAGTCGACTCAAAAGATGCTCACAGACAGACTATAGGTTTGGTCGCCTGTAGCACAACTAGGTACGGTCCCGTATAGATTCTGCGGACGCACTCCTTTATTTTCTCCCCATCCCGCCCCACCCTGCCACTTCAATCTGCCACTGCGGTATGAGATGCGACTTAGGGTTCCACTGGGCCTGCCAAGCTGTACGTCAGAGGTGTGGTGTGACTATCAACCAAGCTGTGGTGTGGTGGGGCAAGCTGTGGTGGGGCAAGCTGTGGTGGGGCAAGCTGTGGTGGGGTAGAGAAACAAGTGCTTTTGAGTGGACTCAAAAGCAGATTCGGAACTAATGGTGGGGGGTAGAGAAACAAGTGCCCAAGGAAACATGCTGCGAAGGAAATGTGCTCACCTGCGCTGTGCCCCACATATGCCCCCACCCCACATGTGCTCTCTCAGCGCACATGTGGGCACCTCACTCACACAAATGCATGAGCGAGTGCAGCAAGTGAGGTGGGAGCGCGTGAGCGAGTGCAGCGTGGGGGTGTGCATGGGGACGCCGTGCCTCTTGCTCTGCAGCTGCCACCGCCACTTGCGGGGGCGCAGGCGGATGGGCAAGCGGAGAGGGTGGAGGGGGGAGAAGGCGAAAATGGGGAGATGGGGGAAGGGTAGGGTAGTGCGGAGCGTTGCTGGGGCAGTGAAGAGGTCGGGAGTGGGAGAGGGAAGATGGGCAAGGGAAGATGGGGAGGGGAGATGGGGAGGGGAGATGGGGAGGGGAGATGGGGAGGGGAGATGGGGAGGGGAGATGGGGAGGGGAGATGGGGAGGGGAGATGCGGGAAGTGCAAATGGGGAGAAGTGCAGCAAGGTCAATCATCTCCTCCTCTCTTATCTCGTCCACTGCTCCCCTTCCCTCCCCATATCCTCTCATCCACCACACCTTTTGGGCATCATGGGTGGGTCGACCCTGCTTTGGGAATGCTGCCGCACTCCACCGTCGGCGCTCGCAACACCACCGGCACGGAAGAGGCGTGAGTGGCGTATGGGGGGAGTGCGAGAGGGATGGGATGATGCGATCGCGGATTTTTCTCCTCACGGCATCACGCAAGCCTTCCAATTCCACTCCTCACACATCCCCCCTCTCGAGCCAGCAGCTGCGGCAGCGCCGTCGCCTTCCCCCGTCTTCTCGCCCTTCGCGCCGCCACAGCCGCAGCTGCACCAGTGCTGCCCTGCACCAGTGCTGCCCTGCACCAGTGCTGCCCTGCACCAGTGCTGCCCTGCACCAGTGCTGCCCTGCACCAGTGCTGCCCTGCACCAGTGCTGCCCTGCACCAGTTCTGCCCTGCACCAGTGCTGCCTTGCACCAGTGCTGCCTTGCACCAGTGCTGCCCTGCACCAGTGCTGCCTTGCACCAGTGCTGCCTTGCACCAGTGCTGCCCTGCACCAGTGCTGCCTTGCACCAGTGCTGCCTTGCACCAGTGCTGCCTTGCACCAGTGCTTTGCGCCATGGCAGCTGCGCCACACCCTAAGCTGCCGGCACCTGTTCGCTCGCGTGTCACTGCTGCCTTGCGCGCCGCCCCCTAAGCTGCCTTAGTGCACCGCACCTCGTCCGTCGCGGCGGAGGGCAGCGCCGCGCACACCTCCGCGCACGCACACCTCCGCGCACACCTCCGCGCACACCTCCTCGTGCGCCTCCGCGTGCACCTCCGCGTGCACCTCCGCGCGGATGAGTCAGGCAGCACACGAGCATGCCGCTCGCGCCTCATCCGCGGCGGCGGAGAGCAGCGCTGCCCACCACTGTCCCCACCTTCTGAGGCGCCTTGAAAGACGCAGCGCAGGGGGAAGGGGAGGAGAGGGGGGAGGGGAATTGGGGGGGAGGGGAGGGGGGGGGGGGGAAAGAGAGGAAGGAGGGGGGAAGAGGAAACGGAGGGGTGAGCGTTTTTTAAGGCGTTTCGAAACTCACGCTTGGCCGTCGCCAGCACTGCCTCTCTCCTCGGCCGAGTCACGGCGGGCATGCCCCCTGGGAGTGGAAGGGGACGGGGGAAGGGGGCACAAGGGGAAGGTGAGGGGGAGTGGAGGGGGAGGGGAAGGGGGTGATTTGGACAAGAATTCCCTCACTTCCCTGCCCACCAGCACCCCCTGGGAGGGACGAGGCGTACCCAGCCTCATAGAGTGACTGGGACGAGGGAGGGGGTAGGGGCCTGCGGGAAGGGAGCTTGACCCACACCCTGCTTGCCCCCACGCCCTGCCCTGCTTCCCCCCAGCTTGCCTTGGTTGCACAAGCCCCATGACACGCCGCATCTTGTGCGTGCTGCTGCCGCTCTGGCGAGAGCCAGGGTCGGACAATGGGGGGAGAGGGGAGATGAAGGGTGGCAGATAGGGCGGATAGAGAGGGGGAAGCGGGTGGGGGAAAGCTGGCAGGAGAGAGCGGGTAGAGAGGATGTGGTGGGCAGGAAGGGGGGATGGTGGCGGATAAGCGGAGAGGTGTGGGGGCGAGGGCAAACATGCACCCACATCCGACGCGGCGACGGGCAGCGCCGCGAACTCCCCCCCTCCCCACTGCGCCCTCCCCCCACCAACTCCCCCCTCCCCACCGCGCCCTCCCCTCCCCGCACCGCCTCACCTGGCGATCGCGCGTCGTTCGTCGCGGCGGAGGTCAGCGCCGCGCGCTCCTTCGCGCGGCCTTCCGCGCGTTCCTCCGCGCGCACTTCCGTGCGCGCAGTGGATTATAGTCTAAAATTTATTGTTTTCGATATCTCCGCGCAAACATTTATCTTCACGCGCACCTCCGTGCGGACGAATCAGGCAGCACGCGCGATAACTTGTGCGACCCTTAGTATCGCAGCGTTTGATCCTCGCCGGTTTCAGGTAAGTAGACGCGAAGTCCACTCCGTTGAGATCCTACCTAACAATCATCAGCCATTTACGCTAACAAACGAGCAGCGAAACGAGGACAGCGACCAGTGAGGAATTAGGTGTGGCTGCTTCGGAAACACGAGGCACAGTTCGTGGCTGTGCAAGGCTGAGAAAAAACACGTTCAATCCTATTGGCTCGCGTAAATCTCTTTGTCAAACATCGATTGTTTTTTTCAGATGCCCCCGTCAGATTTGAAGGATGAATCGATCAGCTAAACTTCACCTGCCATCCACAAATTCTTCACCATACCAAAGACTTTCCGCACCTTACGCAGAAGTTACACCAACTGGCGTAAAGGAGTTCCGGCAACTAAAATTAGTGCCACGTCTACCACCTCCTAGAATGTTCAACCCTGCCCAGCGTTATCCAACAACCCCCCCACAGAAATACGCGTCCTTATTAAACTCGTTTGCAAACTGACAATGCAAACCAAAAATAGAAAACTGACAATTCAAACCAAAATGCAATTTGTACTCTCTGTCAAAATGAAGGTACAGTACACGAACACATTTTGAGCAGCCGCACCGCTCGAGCCACTTTCTCAGCGGGTCGTTTCATTGGCCAGTAAAATCCCCGCAAAGCTCCATATAGCCTGAAAACCAGAAGAAATAACACACTCGACGTTCTCGAGGAGGTCCCTGACAGAATCCATGGCAGCGTCGACGCTGTCATGGTTCTGCAGCTCACCCGACACAGGGAACTTCAAGTTAGGACTACCATTTCGAGTGGAGATTCCCGAATTCCTGCTTTCGTACAACCACGACAAGATATCCAGGCAGCAGACTAGCTCATTTGGTGATCAGCTCGATCAGATCCCTCATAGCTCTCTCATTACCACGCGAAATAGTGTTATTTTAAGCCATGCCGAACCCATTCCAGCGGTATCTGACCGAGCTGCCGAACCCAGATGGTGGATCTTTCGGCTCGTATTACAGCCTCCCGGCTCTCAAGGACTCTCGCATCGGTACCTCATTTTACTATTCGTTTTTCAGTTATATCTCCTTCCAGTAGCTCGGTCTAACTAATTCACTCTTATCATGCAGATGAACTGCCAATTATTCTCAAGTACATGCTGGAGTCCACCGTTCGCAACTGCGACAATGACCACGTCACGGAGGCGGACGTGAAGAACATCCTGAACTGGGCTGAAAATTCCCAGCACCGAGTCAATATCCCTTTCAAGCCAGCTCGTTTCATTCTGCAGGTTCGCAGTCGCCTTTTGTTCTATTTCTCCTAACTTCAGCTGAATGTGCCGTTAAAGCACGGCTTTTTGCATAATTCCATTGTGTGTGAATCATGTCCTATGCTGTGTGTGCCGATTTATGTCCTTGTACTGTTCGATCAGGACTTCGCTCGCGTTCCTGCTGGTGTGAACCTCCTTGCGATAACGAACGCGATGGATAAGCCCGGCTGCGATCTTTCTACCATCAATCCTCAGGTGCATTTCAAATCCCCGGACGCCTCTTGATGTTCTCCCTTCATTCACACACATAAGGCTCATGATTTTTTTTTGTTGAAGTCGCTGCACCGTGGTGTTGCAGATCCCACCTCCACCTGTCCTTTCCCCCCACACCAGACCCGGTCTCCTGCTCTCCCCTCTCGGCATGCACTCGCGCAACCTTCAGTTCGACCCGCGCTGCACCGTGGTGGTGCAGATCCCACCTCCACCTGTCCTTTTCCCCCACACCAGACCCCAGTGACTCAGAGCCAGTTCTGTCCCTTACCCCCCGTTCCTTCCTCTCCTCCCCCTTCCTCTTCCTCCCCTCCTTCCCCCAGCTGCCTGTGGATCTGGTGATCAACCACCCAGTGCAGGCGGACTACGCGGAGGCGTCCAACCAAGTGAGCCTCAGCACGGAGAGCGAGGTGGAGCGCAACAGCGAGCGGCTCGCTTTCTTCGAATCAAGCTTGACGACGGGCTCCAGAGAGATTTTTTTGGTCCCCCCCGGCGCTGGCATCGTGCACCTGGTCAGTTTTCTGCTAGTGCCCGAGGGTCTCTGCGCTGAAGCCTACTTTTGAGGCGTCTTACAACTATCAACACCCATGCAACAGAAAATCGCCACGATATATTGACCTGCGATATAACTTTCCACATTGTACACGCAGGTGAATCAGGAGTACCTGGCGCGGGTGGTGATGGAGGTCAACGGGCTGCTCTACCCTGACAGCGTCATCAGCACCGACTCCTGCTCCACCTTGATCCATGGTCTCGGCATCGTCGGCTGGGACGAGAGAGGGTCTAAAGCCAAAAGTGCCGTGCGCGGGGAGCCCATAAGAATGGACCTCCCCCAAGTCGTGGGCGTCAATATCACGGGAAGGCTCCGAGCGGGAGCCACGGCCACGGATTTGGCAATGGCGTGCATGAAGAATCTACCCAGCATGCTGAATACATGTGTGGAGTTTTACGGCGAGGGGACGCGGGAGCTGTCTGTGGAGGACCGGTCGACAGTGGCGAACATGCTGTCGGGGTTTGGGGCGGCCATGGGGTTCTTTCCAGTGGACTCGGTGACGCTGCAGCACCTGAGGGACACGGGGCGCGATGAGGCGAAGGTGAAGCAGGTTGAGGCGTACATGCGCGCCAACCACCTCTTCCTGGACCACGCCACGGTGAGTCGATGTTACCTGGTGTGCTACCACCTATTCATGGACCATGCCATTGGCTTTCGCATGGTAACGAACGTGTTGTGTTCGGATTTGACTAAATGCACACGGGTGCATGAGCCAGGTGCAAGTACTTGTCGTTTCTTGCGCTGCACCTTGCTACTGTAGAGCCCTGCGTCTGAATTTCATCCGTATGCTCCCTTCTATCCTTGCCTTGTCATCCGTTTTACCCGCAGACTGGAGAGGCGGAGGCCAAGCCCAAGTATTCCTCCTACCTCCAGCTGGACCTTGCGGCCGTGGAGCCCTGCGTCTGCGGGCCCCTCATCTCTGGGCCCGGCGTCTCCAGACGCTACTGGTAACCCATGGTTCTCTGGTCGCAGATGGGCAATAATATGCCCCGTTCCGTTGTTGCTCTACATCTCTGTTCCTCCTACAAATGCTTTCCTTCTCAAGTTTCCCCCTTCCCCGGACCCCCCAAACCCCCTTTACTCCTTCCTTCCCTCATCCTCTTTTCAATGGTCTTGTTCGGTTGCCTTCCTTGCTTGCTTCTCTGCAGGCCGTATACATTTGTCAACCTCAACACCATGAAGTCGGGCTGGGAAGAATGCCTCAGAAAAACCGTCCGTTCAAAGGCAATGCTTCCGTGTTATCATAGCATGTTTCAAGGCTCCCTGCCTCGTACACTCTGACTGCTGTGCTTGCCTAGCCTGGTCATTGCTGCCATCGCCTCCGCACAACCCGTCCAACCTCTTCTCTCATGCCTCAACCTCTCTGCCAGTGACTCATTGAATTGTTTCGTCTCTACCACCCGATCCCCTCTCTTGGTCTCCCTTCCACAGGGCTTCGGCATCCTCCCGGACCAGCAAGGAAAGAGTGTGCCGGTGACTCTCGAGGAAGGGGTGCAAATCCAGCTAAAGCACGGGTCCGTGGTCATTGCCGCCATCACCTCCTGCACCGGCGCGCTCAACCCGGCGGAAATGCTGACAGCAGCCCTGGTGGCGAAGAAGGCGAGTGAGAGGGGACTCCAGGTGAAGCCCTGGGTGAAGACGGGCCTCGCCCCTGCCTCCAACGTTGTCACCAAGTACCTTGAGGCCAGGTGAGTGAGGGTTGTGCTTGGTTTGTATTCCAAGTCAGAAGGTTTTGACTTAATGCAAGAGGTTAATAAAGGAAGGCAATGTGGTAGCAGCATATAGCAGCAACCCTGGAGGGCTAGATAGGGAAGGGACTAGTTATTCTCATATACGCTCCTGTTGCTCTTGACTGTACTTCAAGTTCTACATTAATGAAAGGACCATTCGAGAGGGGCCTCCAGGTGAAAGCGTATGAGAAGGTGAGCCTGGCTCCTGTCTCCAACGTGGTCACAAAGTACCTTGAGGCCAGGTGAGAGGAGTTTGAGGTTCAAGGCGGCTCACACGGTAGGGTTTTCTCAGGTGCAATGCAGTTGAAGGATTAACGATTTAGGAAGGGGTTTCGTGAAAGATGCAGGGGAACGTGAGACTCCTCAAGGTGGGGGTAGGGAAGAGGTGGTGGTGCTAGTGCAGTCCGTCAGTGATGCCGGCAGCAGCCGTCGTGGCGGCAAAGGTGAATGAGAGGGGGCCTCGGGGAATCCGTATGAGAAGATGAGCCTTCCCCCTCCCTTGGTGCAGCGTCGCCACCAAATACCTTGGGGCCAGGTGAGGGAGGGCTGGGCACGGAGATTTCAAGTCTTTAATCTGCCCCCCTTGGTTTGCAGCTGGTTTGCAGTGTTATCCTCCCGGCTCTTTAGGGCATAGGCGGCTGCCTGGCGTGCATTCTGTCTCTTTCCTTCCTCCTCTCCTTCCTTATTTGCCCCTCTCTCCCCATGTGTGCAGCGGTCTCCTGCCAGCTCTGGAGGGGCAGGGCTTCCACGTGGTGGGGTATGACTGCACCACGTGCATTGGAAGCTTGGCAGAGATTTCAGAGTCTGTTAAGGAGGCCATTTCTGACAACGGTACGTTGCAGTGGCATACTCTATAATAGTAGCGAATTTGGTTCTTTGTCTTGACACATCCTATGTTCTCTTATCTCCTTCCTTTCACCCGAGCCAAATACCCTGCACTGCATCCCCGTTCCCCATCTCCCTTCCCCCGCTCCCCTCTCCCTCGCCCCCACTTCCTCAACAGGTCTGGTGGCAGCAACAGTGCAGTCTTGTAACGGTACCTCTGAGGGGCACGTGCATCCTCTCTTTCGGGCTAACTACCTTGCATCGCCGCCCCTCGTCGTGGCATATGCGCTCGCTGGCACGGTGAGTGTTCAGTTTGCTGGCCTGAATTTGTTTGACTTATGATAAAAACATGTAATCATAATGTCAGATTAAAACGTTATTCGCCAAAACCGGATATTTATCTTGTATCACCCGCCTTTGTTCTCACGCACTCACACCGTTATCCAATAATTTCTCAGGTGAACAAGAACTTTGAAGAAGAGAGCATCGGATCGGACAAGGACGGCAAGGAGGTGTTCCTGAGAGACATATGGCCCAGCAACGAGGAACTGGCAGAGGTGCGCGCTAACCAAAACCGTATATGAATGTACTGAAACGTACCTGCTATGCACGCACCTGCCACGTATGCACGAACTGCCATGTTTGCGCGAACTGCCACGTATGCACGAACTGCCATGTATGCGCGAACTGCCATGTATGCACGAACTGCCATGTATGCACAACTGCCATGCACGCACCTGCCTCGTATGCACGGACTGCCATGCACGCACGAACTGCCATGCACGCACCTGCCACGTCTACACACGAACTGCCATGTATGCACGAACTGCCATGTATGCACGAACTGCCATGTATGCACGAACTGCCATGCACGCACCTGCCACGTACACACGAACTGCCATGCACGCACCTGCCTCGTACGCACGAACTACCATGCACGCATCTGCCAGGTACGCATGCAGTGAAGGAGGGCGCAACCAACGCTATCTGGAGACACTCACCACCCCTGTTTTCCCCATCTTCACCATTGCTAAACCCTTATACCTGACAGGTGGTGGAGAGGGCGATGCTGCCGCAGCTCTTCCAGTCGGTGTACGAGACAGTGAGAGAGGGTGCCAGCGACGCCCTTTGGAACAGCCTTCCCGCACATAACGAGATTGGTTGGAGGGACAGGACGGACGCGGCCAGCCTTCTCAGTCAGAGCGACTCTGTCACTATTGATCAGACCTCACCTGCTGGTCAGTATTAGATGACGGTCATTATTGTTTGTTTGTTTGTTTCTCTCCAACCACCAATGGTAAGGCATAGACAGTTGAGCTCAGGGGGAGCTGCTTTCCTTCTTCCCGTGCCCCTCACCCCCATGTTTTCCTACCCATGCCCCTCTCTTCCCCCTCCCAGGCATACACGGTGGAGACGGATCACGAATGCGAGGGTGCTGTCCTCCTTTTCCAATGCCCCCGCCTTGTGTGCGTCCTCTCCATGCCCCCCTCTCCTCCCACCAGGTGTACACGGAGGACATGGAGGCGGATGCACTTCGTCTCCTCCCACCAGTCGTGAGGAGGAGCACAGCGCCACCAGCGCCAACAGCAGCACCAGCAGCACCGACCGCAGCAACTTCACCAACCGCAGCAGCAGCAGCAGTGGAACCCGCAGCAGCAGCAGTGCCAACCGCAGCAGCACTACCAATGCCAGCCGCAGCAGCACCAGCAGTGCCAACCGCAGCAGCACCAGGAGTGCCAACACATGTGGTGAGTGCGCAGTTGCTCTCAGCCTCCCTGCCATTTTTTCACAGCTCATTGTGCCCTCAGCCCCCTTTGTCGTTTTCCCACGGCTCACTTGCCCTGAGCCCCATCTGTCACTTTGGCACGGTGCACCATGCGTACAGCCCCCCCTGCCCTTTGGCACGGTGCACCATGCGTACAGCCCCCCCTGCCCTTTGGCACGGTGCACCATGCGTACAGCCCCCCCTGCCCTTTGGCACGGTGCACCATGCGTACAGCCCCCCCTGCCCTTTGGCACGGTGCACCATGCGTACAGCCCCCCCTGCCCTTTGGCACGGTGCACCATGCGTACAGCCCCCCCTGCCCTTTGGCACGGTGCACCATGCGTACAGCCCCCCCTGCCCTTTGGCACGGTGCACCATGCGTACAGCCCCCCCTGCCCTTTGGCACGGTGCACCATGCGTACAGCCCCCCCTGCCCTTTGGCACGGCGAGCCGTGGCCATCCCCCCCACCAACACACCCCCTTCCCCCGCCCCCCCCTCCCCTCCCCTCCCTTTGACACGGTGCTCCATGCCCCCTCCCCTTTTGCATTTATATTTCTGACCCTTTCTCTACCTATGGACCGTTCGTGGCTTCTAAGAACATGCCTATTTCATGGTTTCAGCCGTTTTTTAAAATCCCTCCGTGTCTGCTCGATTTACAGCGTTCGACTGGGAGAATTTTCATACATGGATTGGCGACCATATGGATCAAATAATGGAAAGTCGGTCGAATGCTGAGAGCTAAAGAACCTTTTAATGGCTCTTACAGGTATGTCTGAGGGGGAGGGGAGTGGTGAACGGGGTGGCATGGGAAGGGAAGGGAGGGTAGGGGGGATGGCTTGGGGTAGTGTTCGGCATGGGGAGGGAAGTGGCAAGGGGGTGGGAGTGGGTGGGGTATGTGGAAGGGGGTAGCGGATGTTGAGTGGGGTGGTATGTGAAGAGGAGTGGCATAGGGGAACAAGTTCTTTCTCCTCTCCTTCTATGTTCCTCCCTCACCTCACCTTGCAGACTACCAAAGAACGAGCGTTGATGAGCACTTGAATGCTCAACTTCAAGCCTACGCCATCCTGGCGGAGAAACACGAGGACTGGGCCGTTTTTTCTGCGGATGACTTTGAGGAAGTCTGGATCAATTTTGATGAGGTATGTGTGGCACGGGAGGGGTGTGTGTTGCAAGGGAGGGGTGTGTGTGGCACAGGTAGGTACCAGCAGGAGCTGGAGGGGGCTGCAACAAGCATGAGTGCCGGCCACACCCACTTAGACAGAATGTGATCTCACTGAATGCACACTGGATGCACACTGGATGCACACTGGATGCACACTGGATGCACACTGGATGCACACTGGATGCACACTGAATGCACACAGGATGCGAGCACAAAGTTTGGGGTGAAGGTGACTATCATGAAGGTGTGGTGTATGGGTGTGTTCTGCATGGGCGTGTGAGTGGAGGGGAGGGAGGCACCTGTTCGAGAGTGAGGAAGGGGGGCACCTTTTCGAGAGTGAGGGAGGGGGGCACCTTTTCGAGAGTGAGGGAGGGGTGGCCCGTTTTGTTTCACGTGCATGAAGGTGGTTGAGGGGATGAGAGGGGCAGGGGGGGATGAAGTATGATGTTTGGTGTAGCGGAGTTGCTTAGAGAGACACCGTTGCTGCTGGCATGTGTGTGCGTGTTTGTTGATGAAAGGCACACAACATAATTTTCAACGCCCTATCTGCCCCTCTCGCTCCTGCTCCCTCTCACCTGCTCCGCTCTCACCTGTCCTTATTGTTTCACAAACCAGATTCAGGCGGCCTTTGCTAAATTGCAACAGCAGGTGGAGGCACAACGAGGTGCGGTTGCGGAGGAGCGGGACGCGGCGAACAAAAGGGTGCGGCAGATGGAGAGGAATAGGGAGCGGACGAGGCTGGCTAGTGGGGGGGATTGCGGACAGGAAGGGTGTGGGGAGAGAAGTCCTGCTCGCCGTGTTCTGATTTCGGACTTCGAGCAGGCGGGGTTAGCAAGCCAACCAGCTGCGACTGCTGACACCATGCTCCCTATGGTGTTAGAGCTAGGTTCCCCTCTACCACCAACACCAGCAGCGCTTCTACCACCACCTACAGAAGCACCATCATCATCATCAGCATCATCTGCAGCAGCAGAACCACTCCCAGCAACGCCACTCTCAGCACCAACAGCACCACTCCCAGCACCAACAGCACCACTCCCAGCACCACCAGCACCACTCCCAGCACCACCAGCACCACTCCCAGCACCACCAGCACCTGTCCCAGCACCAGCACCATCAATCTCAGCACCACTCCCAGTAGGGGAAACAATGGTTCAAGTGACTATCGTGGATGTTCATGGGAGGGTGTGGATGCCATGCTTCTCAACTCGCAGAGGAGAGGAGCTTGGTCATGACCCCAATGAGAGGGTACCGGGGATGCAGGCTGTGGGAGAGATTAGGTCTGGGGTGTATGAAGGTGCGAGGGTGGGGGATTGTGTCCGAGTGCGGATTAGTGCGGAGGACAGGCGCCACGAGCTGGGAACCTACAACAAGGCCGAGGGTGGACGCGTGTCGGAGGTCGGGCACATCCTCATGTCGCTGGAGCTTCCGATTGCGCACGTATTCATCACGCCGGAGCAATTTTTGGCGGCTGCCAACATGCTCAAGAAAGATGAGGAAAAGTCGTGGGCTGAAGTGGTTGAAGACCTGACAGGAATGTAAGGCAATGGTGTGGGGCTGGGTGAAGCAATAAGTACAGTACCTTGACTGTTTCTCACTGCGTTGCGTCTGTGTGCCTGTAGTTTGCTTGCTTTTCTTGTTGTCGCTGTTAATGCGTACTTGTTGTCATGTGTGCTTTGCTGACAGCCCCTCAGAACGTGGACAGCGACGGCGCCGCTAGAGGAACGCTGATGATGAGCGTCGCGACAGCAACGAATAGGTAATATATTTCGGTAATACGTTGCCATCCACGCATCTGAAAAGAACTTAATGTAAAAATTTTGAGCTTGTGTAGGGAATGTGCGTGTGATGCACAGAATGAGTGTGACAGGGGGGCGAGATGAGAGGAGGAGACGTGAGTGTGATGGGGGTTCTGGGCCTCATGCTCAGTTTTCCCCGCTGTTTACCCCATGTTCCCCCCTTCCTCTCTTCAGTTTCAGCCCAGATAGCCCTCAATTCTCCCCGTGATGACCTGCAGTTGCCCCCTTGTCTGACTTCAGTACTCCCCCTGCTTCCCTTCAGTTTCCACCCCTCTGCTTCCCTTAAAGTTTTCCATCCCGCGTACCCATGCCTTTGTAACTTTGTTACCCCTTCTCCATCCCACCACTTCACAAATTGCTTTCTGTTGTTTCTGTAGCATGGGCTCCTGCATCCGTTTTCCTTCTCCATACCAAATCCTCTTTTTACGTTTCGCCTTTTCCATTCCACCAACACAACCATTTGTTCACCTTATTTTCATCCTGCTTTCCCTTATTCTGCTTGAACTCCCTCTCACACTCGCATTGCCTCTACTCCTGCAGCAGAGGTGGATGGTGTGTGGGGATGATGGATGGTGTGTGAGGATAGTGGGTCTGAACCAAAGAGAGGGTTGGTACGAGGCTATGGGTGAGATGGTGGGTGTTTACACATGAAGGGAGGGAAATGATAAGTGCAGTGGCGGCCATTCTGGACAGAAGCAGTGGAGGGTGCTGCTGGCCATTCTCACTTGTTACTGCTGGCAGGGGAGGTGGGATGGCAGAGGCAGACGGGGGTGACGAGTGGGTGGAATAGGTGAGAGGGGTCGAGACAAGGGGAGGGCACGGCGGGCATTGCGAGTGGCGGCAGGCAGAGGAGGTGGGACTGAGGGGGATAGCGAGGGACCCAGGGAGATGCGGGCAATGCAAATCCATTTTTCCCTTCATTTCCTGCCAACACACTCTCGTCTCTGCCATCTCCCTTCCCCCCACCCCCTGTCTCCCTCTCTCACTTCCCCTCCCCACCCACCAGGCAGCCTCTTCTGTACAAATGCCTCCCTCTCACTGCCATGCCCATTGGGCCGCACAAGACATGATGCCACCTGCTGTTGAGTGCAACTGCTGTGGGCGCAGACAATTGAAGGACCAGGGGCTGTGCAGGCAGATGACATGTCTCTGTTTCCTCTCCCGCTCCCCTACGGCGCATCGTCATGTTTAAATATCATAGCCAGTTTTCGTCCTGCCAACCTCTTCCCGCTGCCTCTATATTTCATAATAACCTCTGTCACTCTGTCTACATTTTGTTTTTGTTTTTTTGGGAATAGGGATTTAGATTGGATTGCCGAACTGTCAGACTTTATACATACATTGGTGTGTTAAATTGTTAGGCTCTAATGAGTAGCATATTACAGGATTAAGGTTTTCTCTTGAGTCTTGACACTTTCACTTTGTACCCTCTCTACGTAACATGGATACATCGCTCGAGCATAATTGAATGCAGCAGTCCATCACACTCTTCTGCACGCTCCTCCTCCTCTCCTCCTCGTCTCCCAGCGCCACTGTCTGCACACATGGGAGAGAATGGGAGGGAGGGAAAGAGCGGGAGCAGTGGGAGTAGGGGTGGGAGGGGAGAAAGTAAGATGGGAGTGTAAGGGGCTGAGGTTGAGAGGGGCGTGCCTTGGACGGTCGGAGAAAGGTCCACCTGTAAGTCTCGGCCTTGTGCGTGTGTGGATGGGCACAGGGTGACAGAGTGACGATGCAGGCAATGCAATTAGCTGCCCTACCTTTGGATGGAGGGAGGATGGATGGATGGACCACTTTACACTCATGCCCTCACGCTTCTCCCTGCCACCACACGACAATCCTTCCTGCCTCGCGACACAATCTTCTCCCCCCTCCCCCCCCCTCTTTTCCCCCTCACAGTACACGTGTGACCTACCAACAATACACATGGTGTGATTCTCCACCGCCTCTATCATCCCCTGGTGCATGGGAGGCAAGGGGGGTGATGGATTGCGACAGGGAAACAAGGGAGCATGAGGAATGAGGAGCACATCGTGTGGTTCTTCACCGCCTATCATCACCTGACCCAATGGGGAGGAGGGTTTGTGGCAGGGGAAATAGACGAGCATGAGGCACGTGGTTCTCAACCGCCCATGCTGCCACACGCACTCACCCACCTGGTGCTGCCATCTGCTCACCTGGTGCTGCCATCTGCCCACCTGGTGCTGCCATCTGCTCACCTGGTGCTGCCATCTGCCCACCTGGTGCTGCCATCTGCCCACCTGGTGCTGCCATCTGCCCACCTGGTGCTGCCATCTGCCCACCTGGTGCTGCCATCTGCCCACCTGGTGCTGCCATCTGCCCACCTGGTGCTGCCATCTGCCCACCTGGTGCTGGCGTGGTCACCTCATGCACCGCCAATCACCCACAGCATGCACCGCCAATCACCCACAGCATGCACCGCCAATTTCCCACAGCATGCACCGCCAATCACCCACAGCATGCACCGCCAATCACCCACAGCATGCACCGCCAATCACCCACAGCATGCACCGCCAATCACCCACAGCATACACTGCCAATCACCCACAGCATGCACCGCCAATCACCCACAGCATGCACCGCCAATCACCCACAGCATGCACCGCCAATCACCCACAGCATGCACCGCCAATCACCCACAGCATGCACCGCCAATCACCCACAGCATGCACGACCAATCACCCACAGCATGCACCGCCAATCACCCACAGCATGCACCGCCAATCACCTAGCTGCTCATACCCTCTCAGCACATCCTCACCTGCACCCCCCCCTCACCCACGAAACGCCGCCCTACTCACACTCCCCCCCAGCCCGCATGCCCATTGCCCCTCCTCACCCGCATGGCGACCCTCTCCCCCGCGCTGCCATCAGCGGCATGCACCAGCGGCTCCAACGCGCCCACCATGTGCTGCTGCGACAGCTGCTGCGGACATATGTTCAGCACAGTCATGACAAGGCTAAGGTATGGCATGGCATGGTATGGAAATTCAAGGCACGGAAAGGCATGGCAAGGTGATGGGCAGCGCAATCGAGCGGTGTGGAAGGGTGTGTGGAGGGGAGACAGCACGGGGCCAGTGTTGGACAGAGCGAGGGAGCACTGCTGCAGGGCGTGTGGAGGGCGGTGCAGGGCGTGTGAAAGTGGGGAGAGGAGGAAGAGGCCTGAGAGGTTAGGAAGCCCACCTTGGTGCGGATGGCTGCTTCCAGAACGGTGCAGTTCGGTTCTTGCTGGAAGGGCCCCGCACCATGAGGTCGGCTCCTGCAAACAGGCGGAGGACGGGGAAGGAGGGGAGAGGGGGAAAGGGAGATGATGGGGAGAATAGGAGGTGATGCGGGTCAGTCGGGAGGGTGAGGGTTAAATAATGGGGAGAGGTATGTCACAGAACATAAAGGTTTTAAGCATTATGTTCTGTTACATGATTGTGAGGTATAGAGGTAGCTTGTAGTATTCAATTTCAGCGAGGGCTGGTTGGGTTCTTGAGGGTGACACGAAGTTGGTAGAATAGGGCACTGCTGGGTACAAAAGGGTTGGATTCAGGAAGCCTCGAGAGACAGGAAATCAGGATCGGCCAATCCAAGGCCCAGGCGACTCGAGCCCAATTCACTCGCCAAGAAATTGGCAACACGGGTGAGGGTGAATAAAGTAGCCTAGCGTAGCAATCGCATCCTTGTTCTCTCGCTTGTTTGCCTCGTATAGTGGATCTAAACTACCGTTTCAAGCTAACTCCAGCTAGGTAGCTAAAGCCACTATGGGCAGCCATCGTGTGGGAGCGGAAATCTCTCACAAACGAGAGAATGAATTGGCAGTATGGACTGCCACGAGCTGCGCTGGCAGCGAACGTATTCGCGTCGGGAAATTCCGCCATCACGACAGATGCGCTCACAAGAGCGGGAACGATCGCCAGGTCGCTCGCCTAAGAGAGAGGCGGATCGGGCGGATCGGATGGCAGCTGGTGACGGACGGCGCGATGGAGGCGAGACCGCTCTGCAAATGAGATTGGCGACGAGGCCTCAGCCGTCAAGAAGCGGTCCCTGGGATCTGGCAAGAGGCCAGCGGGGCGCGGGTAGAGGGCGTCATGAGGATGCCGACAAAATGGGCTCGCTGATGTTGGCAAACGAGGCCGACGGCGAGGAGACGGCGGAGGATGATCCAAAGTACGCGGGAGCAGATTGCTCGCCGGAGGACATGCGCGAGGGAGGCGAGAGACGCCGTGGAGAGAAACGCACAGAGCGCGGAAAGGTGATGGGATCAAGCCGCTCGACAGACGAAGTGCGTGGGAGTAGCGCAGGTCGCCGCGGGAGCACGGAGGCAGATCGTTCTGCTGGCGAAACGGGCGGGAGTGGCGAGAGGCACCGCGGGAGCGCGGATGCGGATCGTTCTGCTGACGAAATGCGCGGGAACGGCTCGAGGTGCCGCGAGAGCGCGGATGCTGACGGTTCGGCGGGCGAAATGCCTGAGAATGACGCGAGGCGCCGCGGAAGCGCGGTTGCAGCAGGATCGACGGGCGAAATGCGCGGGAATGGCGCGAGGCGCTGTGGGAGCGCGGATGCAGGCGGTTCGGCGGGCGAAATGCCTGAGAATGATGCGAGGCGCCACGGGAGCGCAGATGCAGATCGCTCGCCAGGCAGGCTGCGTAAAAGTAATGCAAGGCACGGCGAAGGCAAGGAGGCTAAGCGCGAGCCAAAAGCCAGCCGTGAGGAAGAGAGGAGGCGAGACGTGTAGGCAGGAGTGTATGGCTCGCCTGAGCCGAGACGCGGACATGAGCGCAGGAGGCGCATGGCGTTGGGCGGATGGCGATCACGAGAGCAGCGGGGAGAGGAAAGTGAGGACGACTGCGATAGGAGGCACGCTCAGCGCACGCCTGCAAGGCAGCGGACGGAGGAGAGGGAAGCGCGTGTTAAGGGCAGTGAGTGTTCGTCGCAGTACGCCACGGGTGCGGATGCGAGAGCGCGCCGTGAAGAAATAGAAGAGTATCCGTGCGCGGGAGCAGGTTTGGTGCAGGAACCTGTCGGAGAGGCAAGGGGGAGGCAGGAGAGAGAGATAAACAGGAGAAGGGGTGAGGAAGAGCGCTGCCAGCCAGAGGTGTCCCCAGGGAAGGACCCGGGAAGTGACAAAGGAAGAGGAAGAGATGATCATGGGCGCCGAGGAGCAGGCGGACGAGGGAGACGCTGTGAAGGAGAGTCCCTTGAGAGGAAGGAAGGGAGGGAGAAGACGAGAAGGAGTGATCAGGAGCTGCATGAAGAGAAGGAACATGAGTATAGCGAAGAAGAGGACTATGGGTATGATCTGGAACGGTGCCGGCGTGGGAAGCCGGATCGGCGGGAGAAGAATTCATGCCCTGAAGAAAGAGAGGGGTGCAGGGGAAGGCGAGAAGGGCGAAGGAAACCTGGAGCGGGGATGAGGGAGAAGCAGGACCTGAGCGGACAGAGGAAGAGAGGTGACAAGCAACACATGCGACGGGAGGGGATGCACGAGTATGAAACAGAGAGCGGGGAAGAGGAAGAGAGCGAGAGGCTGGCACGCCATGGATCTGGACAAAAGGAGGAAAGCTGGAAAGAATATGTCCCTGGAAGGAGAGAAGGGCTGAGGAGCAGGCAGGAAGAATGGCGAGAGTTTCATGAGAGAGAGGACCGGCAGCAGCGGGAAAGGAGGAAGCAAGAAGGGCGATTCCAGGAATATTCGCCTGAGAAGAGGGAAAGGCATTGGGGGGAAGCAGGCGGGCAAAGAGAGGCTTACGAGGAGGAGCGGAGAAGGAGTCCGAGTCCAAGGGGCCCCAGGAGGCCACGGCAGACAGGAGAAGGATCCAGCGAAGCCAGAGCTGCTAGAGAAGGGATAGGCAGGGTGCTGTATGGGACAAGCACAGGCAGCCGGGGAATGAGGGAGCACAGAGGAGAAGTTAGCCGCGCGGAGCGAGGAGCAACGGGAACCTGTGACTCAGGGAGATGGGGCATGCAGGCGCCACCACAAGTAGAGGTGCCAGTGCGTTTCACGGGGAATGGAGGGACAAGCACTAATCTAAAGAATTATCTGATGCAGATTGGGAATGTCAAGTACAGGTGCGATCGGAGTGGGATGGACCCCATCGACTTCTTTTTGAGTTTGCCGAACACTTTGGGTGGGGAAGCAGAAACATTGTATCGCATGAAGATGCATGAGTGGCTGAGGAGGGCAGAGGAGGATGGGGACGACCCTACGTCACTGTTCCTGGAGCGGCTGCGCAAGCAATTCCCATGACACACGGCAGAGCGAATCAGGGAGTTTCAGGACTTCAAACGCAGGAAGGATGAGTCGTTGCTGACGTATTATGGGCGGCTCATGAACCTGGCCGAGGATATGGTGTGTACCAACAGCATGCTGATTAGTAAGTTCCTGGCAGGATTGGACGACGGGCTGGCCGGAGGACTGAAAATGAGAGTATACGAGCTGGGGGCAGAAGCAAGTCTGGAGGAAGTGTTTGAGCTAATAGAAAAGGTGGAGCTGGCACAGAGGCGTTATGAGGCATACCTGCCAACGGTGGCTGAGAAGATGCGACCCACCTGGGCAGCAGCAATGATACCAGGGGCGGGAGGCGGAGAGGAGCAGCAATATGAGAGAAGGACAGACAAGAAGACCTGCTACAGGTGTGGACAGCCAGGACATGTGAGGTTGTATTGCAACAAGTGCGACGTGTGTGGGAAACCAGGGCACCACCGCCAGAACTGCCCTGACGCGCCAACCTGTGAAGTGTGTGGGAAGAGGGGGCATCAGCAGAAGGACTGCTATCAGAAGACTGGGGGAGCAAGGAGGTCACAAGAGGAGATAGAAACACAGATAGGAAGGCTGCGGGCTCAGCTGCAGGCTTTGGGAGGCAAGAAGGAGAAAGAACCAGGAGTGTACGCGAGGGAAGAGGAAGAGGAGCAGGAGCCGAAGTACTCCTGTGCGGTGCTGCGTCGCCATGAAAACCTGGGGTGGTGCAGTGGGGGCAGGGACGGACGAAGGAAGCAAGTGAGTAAGGTGGGGGCATGGGTGTGTGTGGAAGTAACACCAGAAACGGAAGAAAAGGACAAGAAGGTGGGGGCATGGGCGGATGAACCGGTAGCGGCAGGCGCGGAAGGGAAGGACAAGAAGGAGGGGGCAGGGGCGTGTGAACTGGTAGCAGCCGGTGCGGAAGAAAAGGACGAGCAGGTGGGGGCATGGGCGGATGAACCGGTAGCGGCAGGTGCGGAAGGGAAGGACGAGAAGGTGGAGGCATGGGCAGCAGCAGAAGGGGAGGAGAAGGACGAGAAGGAGGGGGCAGGGGCGTGTGAACTGGTAGCAGCCGGTGCGGAAGAAAAGGACGAGCAGGTGGGGGCATGGGTGTGTGCACCAGCAGCAGCACAAGCAGAGGAGAAGGACGAACAAGTGGGGGCAGGAGCGTGTATAACAGCAAAAGCGGAAGCAGAAGAAAAGGACGAGAAGGTGGGGGCGGGTGTGTGTGTAACAGCAGCAGCGAAGGCAGAGGAAAAGGAAGAGCAGGTGGGGGCGGGAGCGTGTGTACCTGCAGTAGCAGAGGCTGAACGGAAGGACAAGAAGGCGGGGGCACGGCCGTGTGTACTAAAGGCAGAGAAGCAAGTGCAGGGAAGTATGAGGGCGGAGCAGCATGTGAGGAAGCTGGAGGAAGAATGTCCGGAGCTGGTGGGGAAGAAAATGGTAAAAGAAGCCGCGAGAGGAGCTGATACGGGTGTGAGTGAGGAGCATAAAAGTAGAGATGGC